ACCGTATGCGCGGTGGCTATCGTTGGACTTGTGCAGCTGCCTTTGTTTCTTGTGCCCGGCCAAAACCCGCAATCATGATGCACATGTTGGCCAACGCATAGGTGAGGCATCGCATCCTGGGCCGGCGCCTGAGATCGGTTCTGACTCTGAAGTGAAGCACGATCTCATCTCCTTGCTAGCAAGCACCTGGGGTGACTGTTCCAACTACACTGCTTCGTCTTTCGGGGTGCAGGACCCAGTCAGATTTTGGGATCCCGCTGGGTTTTTCGCCGATGACAGCGTTGAGAGTTTCAAGCGCCGCCGCCAGACCGTAGTGAAGCACGGACGCATCTCCATGCTTGCAAGCGCCTGGAATGACTGTCCCAACTACACTGCATCGTTTTTGCATGTTTTTGAGATCGAGTTCGGTGTGCAGGTTCCAGTCAGATTTTGCGATCCCGCAGGATTTACTGACGATGGCAGTGTTGAGAGCTTCAAGCGCCGCTGTCAGACCGAAGTGAAACACGGACGCATCCCCATGCTTGTAAGTGCCTGGGGTGATTGTCCCAACTATGGTGCATCGTCTTTGCATGCTGGTAAAATCGATTTCGGTGTGCAGGACCCAGTCAGATTTTGCGATCCTGCAGGTTTCATCGCCGATGGAACCGTTGATAGCTTCAAGCGCCGCCCTCAGACCGAAGTGAAGCACGGACGCATCGCCATGCTTGCAAGCGCTCGGGGTGATTGTTCCATTTTCACTGCATCGTCTTTATGTGCCTTTGAGATTGAGCTCGGTGTGCAGGACCCAGTCAGATTTTGCGATCCCGCAGGTTGCAATGATGGCAGCAATGAGAGTTTCAAGCGCCGCCGTCAGACCGAAGTGAAGCACGGATGCATCTCCTTGCTTGCAGGTTTCAGTGCCGATGGCAGCGTTGAGAGTTTCAAGCGCCGCCGCCAGACCGCAGTAGAGCACGGACCCACCTCCAAGAGCACAAGCGCCTGGGGTGACTGTTGCAACTACACTGCATCGCTTTTGCATGCTTGCGAGATCGCTTTAGGTGTGCAGGACCCAGTCAGATTTTGCGATCCCGCAGATGTCAGTGCCGATGGCAGCGTTGAGAGCTTCAAGCGCCGCCGCCAGACAAGCGCCTGGGGTGACTTTTGCAACTACACTGCATCACCTTTGCATGCTTGCGAGATCGCTTTAGGTGTGCAGGACCCAGTCAGATTTTGCGATCCCGCAGATGTCAGTGCCGATGGCAGCGTTGAGAGCTTCAAGCGCCGCCGCCAGACAAGCGCCTGGGGTGACTGTTGCAACTACACTGCATCACCTTTGCATGCTTGCGAGATCGCTTTAGGTGTGCAGGACCCAGTCAGATTTTGCGATCCCGCAGATGTCAGTGCCGATGGCAGCGTTGAGAGCTTCAAGCGCCGCCGCCAGACAAGCGCCTGGGGTGACTGTTGCAACTACACTGCATCACCTTTGCACGCTTGCGAGATCGCTTTCGGTGTGCAGGACCCAGTCAGATTTTGCGATCCCGCAGATGTCAGTGCCGATGGCAGCGTTGAGAGCTTCAAGCGCCGCCGCCAGACAAGCGCCTGGGGTGACTGTTGCAACTACACTGCATCACCTTTGCATGCTTGCGAGATCGCTTTCGGTGTGCAGGACCCAGTCAGATTTTGCGATCCTGCAGGTTTCGTCGCCGATGGCAGTTGTGTGAGCTTCAAGCGCCGCCGTCAGACCGAAGTGAAGCACGGATGCACCTCCATGCTTGCAGGTTTCAGTGCCGATGGCAGCGTTGTAAGCTTCAAGCGCCGTTTCAGTGCCGATGGCAGGGTTGAGAGCTCCAAGCGCCGCCGGTGCTGCGGGGCTGCCAAAACCAGCATTTTCCAGACCCCCATTCTCGAGCCGAGAATGGGGGTCTGGGCAGGGGCCTGTGGTGACTGTGGCGACTACACTGCATCGCCCTTGCGTGCCTTCGAGAGCGAGTTCGGTTTACAGGACCCAGTCCGACCTTGGGATTCTGCAGGTTTCATCGCCGATGGCAGTGTTGAAAGCTTCAAGTGCCGTCTTATTGCCGATGGCAGCGTTGTGAGCTTCAAGCGCCGCCGCCAGACCGAAATCAAGCACGGACGCATGTCCCTGTTTGCAATCGCTCGGGGTGACTGTTCCAACTACACTGCATCGCCTTTGCGTGCCTTCGAAATCGAGTTCGATTTGCAGGACCCAGTCAGACTTTGCGATCCCGCAGGTGTCATCCTTGATGGCAGCGTTGAGAGCTTCAGTCGCTGCCGCCAGACCGACGTGAAGCACGGATGCATCTCCATGTGTGCAGATTTCACTGCCAATAGCAGTTTTGAAAGTTTCAAGAGTCGTCGCCAGACCGCCATGCTTGCAAGCGCCCGGGGTGACTGGTGCAACTACACTGCGTTGCTTTTGCGTGCCTTCGAGATTGAGCTCGGTGTGCAGGACCCAGTCACCTTTTGGGATCCCGCAGGTTCTCCGGCGCCTATATCACTCCACCGTGCGTGCATACCGGAGGTGAGTAGTGGAGTGATGGCGAGACAGTGCACGACATGTCTGAATGACACAACACAGGATGACCTTTTCACGATGTGGACGCTTGTTTGCAAAATTTTCTGCTATGTTTGGGCAGCACTCCGCAAGTTGCGCAATCAGATTGCTCATGCACTTAATGGCAATGGGAAAGGTGGAGCCAAAGGTGCAAAGGGCACCAAAGGTGCCAAAGGCAAGTCGAAGCAAGCCAGCTACAGCCAGTCTTCCGATGCTCAGTTCGTCACTCCTTTTCTTCCACAAGCTGATGTGCCTGACTTTGGCGATGATGGTGGCGACGCTATGTTGGTGCAAGCCATCCGCGATTCAATGCCCGTGGAGGCTCACTTGCGAGGTTTGCCCACTTTGCTTTCAGCGGAATGGGATGCCCCAGTGCTTTCCTATCCGCAATTGTCAGCCCAGGGTGGCATCTCCTTGGTGCCTAAGGCAGCAATTCCCAGTGTCATCAGGACGGTTGGCTTCACGGCTCAACCCACGGCGATTCTTATCACGCAGTCGCCGGGGTCTTTGGGACTTGGCTCGTATCCTCATGCGCAAGTTGAATGCACCATTTTGCTGCATGAAGGGGCGGACAAGAGAGAGATTAGAGTTTCTCGTTGGTGTGTGCAGCTCGGCTTTGCTGTTCCTGTCAAGAGGATTGCGCAGGGCCCCAAGGTCACCATTGCCCAGACGATGTTACGCATGGTTTGTAAGCAACCGGAAGAGTTTGGGTGGCCATCGCAGGCCAAGGCATCGCATGTCACCAGGGTTTTGGAGATGCAGCAAATCCCCATGCTGTCCATCAGTGAAGTGCAGATTCGTGCTGATATATCTTCTACTTTCCTTGCACACGAACACTTTGTTCAGCAGATTCTGCGAACCAGTGGAGCGCACGGCACTTTCTTCAAGGTGCATGCCAGCAGTCTTTCAGACTTCAGTTTGCAAGAGCCTGTGCTTGTTTGGTTGCCAGAGTCAACCTCCGTCGAGCGAGCTCGAGCCATGCTGGACGGCTGTGATCACCTGGGCATCGTCTGCAAACGCAGACGCCCTCCACATCGGTTCGCGGCCCGGTTCGCCACTACAGAGCAGCTACAGTTCTTCTGCAAAAAACATGCTTTGGAAGACACCTCAGCCCTTGGTCGCTGGAAGGTTTATGGGGTGCCCATCACGGCTGGCATGCCAGGTGCACACCAATTCTTGGTTGACCAGAAGTGGCAGGTCCATGCTATCGAGCACTTTGATCAGAAAAGCCTCAGCTTTCTTTCTACCAACTGTGGCAATGATGCCCTTGTGCAGCTTTCGATGGGCACAGGACATGCCTCTCAGATCATCTTCAAGGCGGTCAATGCCGTTGCCAGAAAGCTCGCTGCAAGCAAGCAGGCCTCCGGAAGTGCTTCTATGCAGACCGATGCTACCACCTTGTCAGTGGTCACTGAGCTCGGCAGACAGCAGCAGGACTTTTACAAGTTGGTTGCCACTCCGCGCGACAAGCGCCCGCCGCAGCACTCGGGCGAAACGCCCGAAGCGCAGAGACAGCGCAACACTTGATTGCGCTATGGTTACTGATCTTTTCTTCCCTGGCCTCGTCAAGCGCTGCTGGGAGGAGGTTCTTCGTGCACAGCGGTCTCACGCACTTCGTGCTCTGCATGGCAATACGCCCGGAGCTCCTTCGTTTTCTACGTGCTGGTTGGCTTCATTCAACTCGGATGGCCTTACAGCGGCTGGCCGTTGGGACACTCTTTTGAGCTACAGCTATGACATTCTTTGTCTTCAAGAGACACATTTGTCGATGGCGAAACAGCAATTTTTCACCAGTTCTACTTCCTTACACTGTTTGTGGGGTTCACCGGTTACTGGGAGCTCAAGATGCGGTGTTGGCATTGTGGTCAAAGCGGCCAGGTTTGCCAAAGTCTCTTCAATCTCTTGGCCTTCGGATCATCCTTGTCACTCCTTTTGGGCCACTGGCCGTCTTCAGGCGGCTCTTTTCTATCTGCATGACAACAGTGTCTTTGTGCTGTACAACATGTATGGCCCTGCAGGCGCCAGAGAATCTTCTTCAGCCAAGCGAACTTTGCGGCAGATGTTGCAGCGCGTTTCAGAAGATGCCGTTTCACGCGCTTTACCGGCCATTTTGGTTGGGGATTTCAATGCCGAAAGTGAGGCAAACACCTATATGCAATCCTTGTTGGCCACTACTTGGCATGATGTGGCCGATCTGAGCAGGGGTCCCAAACTGCACACCTGCCACAAGGGCTCGGGATCACGTATTGATCACATTTGGTGCTCATCCAGTGCGAGATCTCTTTGCCTTAGTTTTTCACTGCAGGGTAATCCGTTCACCGACAAAGGGCACTCCTTTTTGGAAATGGCTCTTCGCTGCCCTACGCAAGCGTCTCCGCGATTCACTCCCAGAAAGGCCTGTGCTTTTGGGCATTTGGTGGCACCAGCGCACCCTTTTGCATGCGCAATGCCCCCGGAGTTTCACGTCGCTTTGCGCAACAAGGACGTGGACGCCGCGGCCTCCATCTGGTCTCGTGTTGCAGAACAAGCGCTTTTGCACCTTCATGCTCAGCAAGTTGGCTCCTCCTTGCGCTTGGGGCAGCCTCGCGGTAAGATTCAATTCGATTCAACGCGTGAGCTTCCGAGGTCTCAGCGCGAACATGCCGACTGTCTTCAACTTCGGCGACTTGGTCGAGCGTTTCGGCAAGCTTCTGAGGTTTGCAAGTGTGGGCCTGGCACTCGGGCTGACCGCACGTGGCGGAATTTGCAATCTATTCTGCCAGTCTGCCCTTCTCAGTGGCAAAGCGAGCTGATGACGCTTTTGCAGGATCGGCCTTGTCATGACGTGGCGAGGAAAGTGATGCATCTCCTTCAGGCCGCTATGCAGTTTTTGCAAGCTGAAAGGCAGAGTTTTCGTCTGAAGCTTTGGAAGCAAACCATGCGTAGTTGTCAAAGCAAGGCTTCGTCCTGGAGAAAGACACATGAGCTTCAGGTGAACAACCCACATCTCAGTGAACACCGGCACTACTCTGCTGTTGTCATGAAGGTCGGTGGCTCCTACACCATTGACCCCACCAGGCAGCTTCAGGCACTCACTGCCGCATGGGACAAGATTTTTGGCAAGCATCGGCACAGTTGCCCTAGCACTTGGCAGTTTTTGCAGCATTATGGGCCTTACATTCGCAAGGAAAGCTTCGACCTGCAGCCTCTTACAAAGGACACTCTTTTAACCACGCTTCGGAACACTAAGAACAGCAGTGCTGGGCTAGACGGTTGGCAGCCTCAGGACTTGCGGCTGTTGGGCCAGGCATGTCCGGATCTCTTTTCCTTTTTGGCTCAGTTGATGCAAGTTTGCGAACAGCAGGCCACGTGGCCTTCTACTTGGACCACGGGCTACGTTTCCATGCTTGCAAAGGAAGTCAATTCACAAGGACAGATTGAAGATGTTTACAACTTTCGTCCAATCACTGTTCTCAGTGCACTTTATCGTTTGTGGAGCCGGGCGCGCTGCTTGCAAATCAAGGATTGGATCACCAAAGTTCTTCCCGACGAGATATATGCTTTACGTGCCGGACAGGGCGCCGATGACATGGCGGTCAACGTTTCGGCGCTCCTCGAAGAAGCTGATCTCATGGGAGAGTGGTCTGGTGGTCTCAGTTATGATTTTGCTAAGTGCTACGACCACATTATTCCGAGCATGGCAATCGACGTGTTTCTTTACAGAGGTGCTCCACTGTCTGTGATTCAAGGCCTGCGAGGTTTCTACAAAGCCCACTGCAAGCACTTCAAACTGGGCACAGCTTTTGGCACCGCCTACCAGCCGGCCAATGGCATTGTCCAGGGCGACCCTCTCAGTAACTTCCTTCTCGCCAGCCTGGTGGCCTGTTGGTTGGAGCGGTTGACGCAGGGTCGCTTTACCCAGGTTCGCAGGCCAGCTCGCGTGGCTCCTCGGGTCTACGTCGATGACATCAGTGCTACAGCAATTGCCTCTGACCTGCAGGCTTTGCGGGCGGTTTTGCGCGACACGCACAGCACAGTGCAACAGTTTGCACACTTCAGCGGCAGCAAGCTAAATCCTGGCAAGTGCTTTACTTACGGCGCCGCCGAAGTTTCAGGCTGTATTTCTGATATACAGCACCACAAAGATGTTTTTCGACTGGTAGGAGGAAGCATCACTTGTGGAGCCTCCTCTTCTTGGACGCCCTTGATGCAGAAGAGGGTTGACAGCTGGATGGGCTCAGCGATAGCCTGTAGCAAGCTTCGCTAAACCGGGTTTCACCCTGTAGATCTGTCCGGAGCTAGCCGACGGGCGGGGGGGGGGGGGTTGTTGTCTGAGGACTTGGATCTTAGGCGGATCCCGTGCTCTTGCTTGAAAGAAAATAATTTCCTCGATCAGATTTTGTTTTCTCCTTTTGGCATGAATTTCTTTTGAGTGATTTCGAACCATCTTATTTCAGATCAGTCTTGCCGTATCGCGAAGTTGAAGCATTGAACAGGTAGCCACGTCAGGCTCAGGCCGTGGCCCGACAAAATTTTGTTTAGGAAGGGAGCAAAAGTCTCCCTCTCGGGACGTGCTATGGATCTCGAGTGGCCTCCCCTCCAAGGGGAATTACTGACAAAACTGAAGTCATGCTTTGCAAGCCCCCGGCAGCTGCATTATGATTTTGATGATAGCGAAGGTGCACGCAAATTGGTAGAGGTGCTGGTGCCAGGATTGGGGGCAGGCAATGTTCAGCTTGCAGTGGATCAGTTGGTCAAATGGCATAAGGAGGGCGCGAGCTCAGTGTTGCGCGCCAAGAGAATTGCAAGAGCAGGTTTGTCAGAGAGCTTGGTGGGGCAGCATACCGTCTCTGCATCCACGATATCAGAGGCATATGATAAGCTTGCACATAGCAATCCTCTCTCGCTTTTGCCTGCGATCGAAAGGGCCAGAAGGCAAGGGAGAACAGCGTGGATCCATCAAAGAGGGCGGCTGAGGAAAGGGCTGCTAAAGCTAAGTATGCCACTCTCTTGTACAGCTTCTTGGTTGAGGCGAGGGCACCAATAGTGGATATCTTGAAGGAAGTCACCGATTCTGAAGAGGCATGTGTGCGCATCTTTGGAACACGAAGGTCAAAGACTTTGAGGAATCGCTTTCACTCGTGGGGCAAGTTCGCGAGATGGCTGGAGACTTCGAAGGGCCGCGTCTGGCCTGCCGGGCTGCAGGATCTCTTGGATTATGCTACTGAAGCTGTGAAGGAGGGCGCTGGTAAGACGACCATAGATTCTTTTTCAGCGGCACTTTCTGTTCTGGAACAGGTCGGACGTTTCGGGGAAGGTGATATGCTGTCAAGAGATCCAACGTGGATTTCGTACAGTAAGAATGTTACTGCAGAGCTGGTGGAGAAGGGGCCGATGTTGCACCAGGCAGCCCAGCCTACAGTAGCGATGGCGCTTTCACTCGAGCTTTATGTGTTTGACGAAGATAGAGCAAGATATGCAAGGGCATTGGCTTTTGTTGCACTTCTGATGCTATGGGGAAGTATGAGGTCCGATGACGTTCAGTGCATGAGGCCAGAGAGCATGCGACTCACTATAGAAGGACTGTCTTGCAAACTTTGGAAGACAAAGACGACGGGCCCAGATCGAAGGATCAACATGGTGCAGGTCTTCATATCCCGCAAGGCCAGTCTCTCTGGCTTGGATTGGCTGGCAAAGGGGCATGAGATTTGGTCAGAAATCAAAGACACAAGGGATTTCTTGGTTTTGCAAGCTTCAGAGGATTGGGAAACCTGCGGCAACAAAGGGGTCGATGCCCCTGCAGTGTCGCTCTATGTGCGAAAGATTTACAAGGAGCTTTGTGTTCCGCGCTGGGTCGAGGGCCGCTGGATGCAGAACAAGGAGCGTCTGTTACTTCCGGGGGATTGTGCGCTGCATTTCTCTGGACATTCAGCGAGGAACTTTCTTACTTCGATCGCTGCAGCCATCAGGGTTCCTAAGGACGACAGGGACTTTCTTGGACGCTGGAAGGTCGGTGGAGGTGGCTCTGCTGACTACACAAGAACAGCTCGGCAGATAGTGCATCGCATCCAGGAGCAGGTTGCAGAGACTGTCTTGCTTGGGAGAGAGCGGGGCTACGTGGAGGCTGATGCTTTGGATGCATTGCAAAGTTTCGCAGAAGAGCGAGGCGAGATTGGTGCCGTGGTCAGGGCAAGGCATGAGCTTGTTAGAGCAAACAAAGTTGGGGGAAACCCCCGGCTTGGCGGGCGCTACCCGCCCCTCTACATGCAGAGCATCCCCGGACCTCATGTGATCACTGAGGAGGCAGCGGAGGACCAGCCGGAAACCGCCGCTGCACCGAAAGGGGAGGCTAAGTATTTTATCAGTGTAAGTAAGAAGACGGGATTCCGCAGACTGCATGTGAATCACGCGTGCTATGTAAAGCCCTTCAAGTGTCAGGATGTCGTATACCTTGATCAGGTGGCTGCCACGGATTTCGATGCAATTTGTAAGGATTGCAAGCTCAGAATCAGGTCGATGGCCGATGACAACAAGGCCGAAGACAGTAGCTCAGGGGAGGCAACCACTTCCTCGAGCGATGAAGGACTCCTTTAAGGCTTGCTGTTGACCTTGATCGCAGGCTTGCAACGGTTTCGTGGCGTAGATCCCACTTGACTTGAGCTGGTTTTGGAACATGCTCAAAACAGGAGTTCATGCCAGTTTGAATCGACCGTCTTTGAAGTTCTTGTCGCTGACAGACGCACTGCTTCATGTACCGAATTGAGCGCTCAGGCTGTTGTGGGTTGCGCGCAACGACATTTACTGATCTCTGCAGTGCATCAGGGTTCAGACCTTGGGAAGCTGAAGCAAAGGCCTGAGGGCGCTCAGCGGGGAAGCCAGACCGTAGGCTGCAGAGCAAAGGCCTCGAGGGAGGCGCTGAAGATCCGCATCAGGGATGGCAGTCACAGAGGCAGAGATGCGTGAGAGAGTCAACAGTGTCGATGCCGATCTGCAATATGTATTGCAGGAGGCCGGGGCATCACTCGCCACACAGTATGCAGTTTGCAACGTGCACAGCACACTTCGCAGATTCCAGGCTATCGCTGATGATCGTGCAGGTTCGCGCACGGCTGCGAACACAGACTTTGGAGTGCCAAGAGACACGCCTGCAGGGCGTCAGCAAACGGCTGCTATAGTGGCAGCGTGGGAACTTGCAAAAGAGATTAGCTCCAAAGAAATTGAACTCCGGGCGGAGGCCCGTGCACTCAATCAGCCCAGGATCTTGCAGACCCAGGAAAGGCAGGCCATGCTGCGCGCGGTTTCGGCCGCCTATGGCAAGCTCAACGAGGCCGAAACACCTAGTGCAGAGTACTTGGCTTTGAAAGCAGAGGAGACCGAGCAGAATGAGCCGACTGCGGCACAGCTTGATACTATCACTTCGAAGCGAGATTCTCAAACAGCCACCATCCAGTCTAGTGTTGATCCTGCAGGACATTTGCGCATCACGAAAACCAAGCAGAAAGTCGAGATGCCTCAAAACTCTGAAGCTTACCGGAGAGTCTTGAAGATTGAGGGTTACTCTTGGTTGGCAATGCAGTCCAGGTATAAATCTAAGACTTGGCTTCAGGGCTTGACGATGGCAGATTTCACCAAGTTCGTCGACTACATTCTCGGCGAGCGGGTCGCGGGCCTCAGATTGGAGCAGGCCACGGGCTACGACAGTAGCCACAATGCACTCTTCCGACCCCCATGGGGGATCGTGCTTCGCTATGAGTACAAGTTGAGGAAAGAAGCTTTCAGGCTAGTGAATGATGAAGGTCAGACGCTTCAAGATGCTTTGGCTGCCGTGACTAAGGATACCGAGCTTAAAGAAGTTCATTTTGTCACTCCCCTAACCTTGACCGCTTTCCCCATGCCATCAAAGTGGACACGCAGGGGGGAGAAAGGTGACAAAGGTGGCAAAGGCAAGGATCCTAGGACAGGGAAAGGCAAGCAAGGGAAAGGCAAAGGCGAAGAGAAAGGTGCATTCAGAGGCCTACAGCTCGTCTGGAGGACACCGGATGGCAAAGACATCTGTTTCGCATACAACAATCAGGGTTGCCAGGGCAACTGTGGGCGCGCACACGTGTGCAGGGTCAAGGGCTGCTATAAAGAACATCCGGCCATCCGCCACCAGGAGCTTTCGCAAGGCAACAACAAAGCCGAGTGACGGTCCCCAGCCGCTGGCCTCAAAATCATGTGCTTCGGTCTGCCCTCCGTGCAGGCATACCTTGCTTTGCAGCCTGGGGTCAGCGAGTGCAGGGGATACGAGTTTCACAATCCTGACTTGATGACTGATCGGTTTTGGGATTCGATTCTGCAGTGCTTGTGCCAGGGAGATTGGATTTTCTTGGCAAGCCCGCCACTTGAAACGATGTCGCGGGCCAGGCATAAACGGCCAGGGCCGGCCCCACTCAGGTCGGAAGCCTGGCCCACAGGTTTTCCATGGTTGTCAGACGACAATAGAATTAAAGTTGAGAAGGCAAATTCCTTGTTCCAGCGATGTGTAGAAGCTGCATCCGCCTGTGCATCCGCAGGAGGCTGCTTTGTGCTTGAGAGCCCTGAGGATTTGGGTGCCACCAAGGACGGTGAGCGGCCAGCGTCATTTTGGCAGTTGCCTCAGGTGCGCGACTTGCAAGTCCAGCATAATGCCACAACTTGGGCATACTTCCGTTGTGCGTTCGGTGCACCCACTGCTAAACCCAGCCGCTTCCTTTTTAATTCCGAGAAACTAAAACATCAGCTGCCACCAAACAGTGTTTGGCCCACATTCGATGCGGAAGGCTGCTACACGGGCCCGCTTCCACCTCGCTGCCCTCACAGCCATCATCCGAAGCCTTTGGTAGGTCGCCAAGGTCGTGATTGGAATACGGCCTCCTCTGTCGAGTGGCCGACAGCTCTGTGTGATTACCTCTTGCATTCCATCCTTCCTTCGGTGCTGCGCACAGGGGGGGACGCAGGAAGGAATGCTGGCCCGCCAGAGGGTCCCTCCGTTTCGGTTTCCCCGGCTGCTAGTGGTTTAGGCCCTCAGGCAGATAGTGGTTTAGGCCCCGATTCTTCGGAAGCACATGCCCACAACGCCGAGGCTTTAGCTTGTGAGATCCTTTCAAAAGATGAGGCGCCCCGCGCCGAGGACATCATTCGCTTGTACGAAGCTTTGCCGAAGGAGGTGTCAGCCCGTGACCCTGAGGGCCGCATCCCGAGCTCCTTCTCCACGGGTGCCTACAACAAGGGAGGCTTGACAGGCCTGAGGAAGGCATGCCACGATTTCCCGCTGGCCACCAAGTGCTTGGTCCGTTTTGTTCGAAGCATGCGTCCTTTCCATCCTTTCAGCACCATCAGCATTTACGACAATGTGTGCACTGCTCTCCATAAGGACGGCCGCAATGCTTGCTGCGAGAACTTGATAATCCCTCTTACCCAGTTTTCTGGGGGCGAGTTGTGGATGCAACAAGACCAGGGTGCCACGCCTCAGAACTTTGGGGGCTCTGAAGTGTTTGGGACGGCAGTGCCGATTCCCCCAGAAGGCTTGTGCTTCGATGCTCGTGGCATCTTGCATTGCACTATGCCTTGGAAGGGCCGCCGACTGATTGCCGTCGCATTCACGGTGTCGAAGACTGAGGAGCTGAAGAAATCGGATGCGCAGCTTCTTGAGGACCTTGGAATCAATTGCCCTTCCGCAAGCCAGTTGACAGGGAGGACCTTGGATGCCGGGGAGCTGTCATCGACGGGGAGCTCTGAGTCGGAACCACCGTCTGGTGGCGAGGACCAGCAAGCAGACGATGTCTTTAGACCAGAGCTTTGTGGCAACTTCGGAAACCCCTTGATGCTGGAGTGGGACGGGAGAGAGTCGCCTATCACTGACGGCTATGGCCTTTGTTCTCCAACGCGTTGGCATCCTGCCTCCCGTGGAGCATCGCTACCAGAAGGGCCGGCCGGTGGTAACCGGGAGTCCAACGAAAAGTAACCGGGAGTCTGCATATGCATGAAAACAGGTGTTGAAAACTAAAACAAAACTGTCAATTTATGAGCCGTTCTGGGTGTTGGCCTGGCTTATGATAAGTCGTTATGGTGCTGGCTGTGTGCCAACAACAAATGACTCAAACGTCGGTGATCCGACGATGAAGATGGCTCCGCTACCAGTGTTGAAAACCGTAAACCCTGAAAATTCCCCAAGACCTGAAAGTGAAGGTCCGCGTCCAAAAGCCTTGGCTTGGATTGCTCAGTTGCACAGATCAGTTTCGGGCGTGGACACCTTCGGCACCTCTGTCGACTTCGGCACCACGGATGTATCCATCGGAGTCGTAATAGTGGGCATGGCAGCTTTGTAAATGGAGACCGGCGTAGGAGGAGGCTACTCTAAGACCATTAATTCGTGTAACCAGCATAAAGCCATTTCTAACACCCCATAAATCCTGTGTTGCAACCCTTATATAGCAGTCAATTTTAGATAATCTTATAAAGCCTTTATTATAACCCTCAAGAGCCGTTTGTAGACCTTTGAACCTCTCTCTCTCTCTCTTTTTCTCTCTCTCTCTCTCTCTCTCTCTCTCTCTCTCTCTCTCTCTCTCTCTCGTTCTCTCTTTCTCTCTTTCTTTCTTTCTCTCTTTCTCTCTTTCTCTCTTTCTCTCTTTCTCTCTTTCTCTCTTTCTCTCTTTCTCTCTTTCTCTCTCTCTCTCTCTCTCTCTGTGTCCCCCCGCCCTAATTAGAATCTAGAAGCGGCAGCCCTTGCCGCTGGCGGCTCGTTCCGCCAAACTAAACCCCAGGCGTTCGCCAGCTGCCGCCGCAGCCGCTGCAGCGAAGCACAGGCCTGCACACATGTCTAAATTCTCTTAGTCTTTTGATTGGAGAGAAATTCTGGTTAGGGTTCCGGGCCAGCCAGCACAGCATGGGACATATTTTTGTCCTTCGGCGAGGAGGTGAGTCCTTTCAAAGCCCGTATGAAGCACCGGCCACCGGCGCAATGCGATTATTAAGTTAAGGTCATATCGCTTTGCGATATGAAAAGACTTGCAGACTTGCATGAGGCCTTTGTCACGCCTCGCACAGAAAACAACTCATCGCTGTGAATCCCACATCACTCTTCACCTTTTCTCGGTTGTCCTGCGGGACCTGCTCCCTCATCGCTGTGAATCCCGCACCACTCTTCACCTTTTCATGGTTGTTCTGCGGGACCTGCTCTTGGAGGACCACCTGCACCCATTTGGGGTGCGGGAGCGACTTGCACAAGAGCTGGAGGGGGCGGCGCCATCTGCTGCAACAGCTGGGTGATCGTCTGGACCGTTGCAAATTGCATGTTGTAGACCGGGCCTGAGTAAGTTTAAGGTTTAGGGTTTAGGGTTTAGGGTTTAGGGTTGACATGCTGAGTGAAAGAGTCCAGCAAAAATCTCACGTATTGATCACAAAATAAAAAATAAATAAAGCCAAGATGCTGCACAACGAAGAAATGGTGTGCATCTCCAACATCACGGAATACCATATATCGCATTGCTCGCGAATCCAGATATGACGTGAGCAGTTGGCCCTAGCCATCATTCCTTCGAGCAGTTTGCTCATCGTATCTGGGTTTTGAAGTCCATGAACTTGTACTGTCAACGGCGAGAGCAGCTGGAGCGTCAGTTTGGACACCTTCTTTCCTGAGCCGAGAAAGTGCTCGTGGAATTCATTGTGCCACCATGCCTTCTCATCGGGAGGAAGCGTCTGAAACTCGTCGGCGTAGTTGGCAAGCCAGCGTTGATCTACCAGCCCGAGCTGCCTTTGCCCCTCAGTCCAGGCTTCCATGCACCGAAAGTACGCTCCGGTATTCATGGCACAAAACACAGATCCGTCACCCTACACTTCAGCAGCAAATTTGAGCCGCGAAACTTTACGTAACAAGCAACTGTCAATCAATGCATCATGGCTGCCAGCATCATCTCGAGACGGTTCCAGGTTTTAGGTTTGGACAGACAGGGTGTTCAGGGTTAGAGGAGAATTGTGCAATCACTTTACTTATCATAGTTCAAGTCCCTCAATCCTATTATATACAGGTGCTGTCGCCGATGGTTTAGGCGGGGGCGGAACAAGCCGCCAGCGGCAGGGGTGCCGCTTCTTAAGCCCAGGAGCCCAGCCCCAGCCCCAACCCTTCCAGCGCTTGCCGCCAGCCTCCAGCCCAGCAGCCTTCAAATTTGAGAGTTTAAGGTAGTAGTAGTAGTAGTAGTAGTAGTAGTAGTAGTAGTAGTAGTAGTAGTAGTAGTAGTAGTAGTAGTAGTAGTAGTAGTAGTAGTAGTAGTAGTAGTAGTAGTAGTAGTAGTAGTAGTAGTAGTAGTAGTAGTAGTAGTAGTAGTAGTAGTAGTAGTAGTAGTAGTAGTAGTAGTAGTAGTAGTAGTAGTAGTAGTAGTAAAGTAGTAGTAGTAGTAGCAGCAGCGGCAGCAGTAGTAGAGTAGTAGTAGTAATACATACCACTAGTAGCTGGCTTGGTGGGGTGGGTGGGGATCGAGTGGGGAGCCCTACCGAGGGGGAGCCAGGCACATAAAGACGGCTCCTCCCGCACCGCTGGCCGGGTGTGGGGTGGCAGTCACATTTCCACGGGCAGCCTCTCTTTGAGGCCAACGTGCCAGTGCCGGCACATGACAGCGAGGCAATGGGCTAACGTGCTCGCTGGGGAAAGGTTGCTCAAAGGCCCTGCGGGCAATCTGCAGGTGACGTGGCTGTTGAGGACGGGAGGCCTAGCATGCATGTGTGTTGATTGCCCATGCGGGAGCAGGCCACCCTGGTTTCATGGGTGACCTGGGATGTCAGAAGACCGACCCCCTGCATGTTACATGGGCACAAGAAGCGCAATGCGCAGCGCAGCCGAGACTGCCAGGGGGAGTTAACTTGGTCTCCTTAAACTACCACCCTGGTGGTGGATCGGGCTTGTGGTCGGGACTCGAGGATCCGAACCCGATAATGGGTTCGAGGAGTGCTCCCCCATCCTCCACTTGCCGATCTTCCGTTCCGAAAGGGCATCGGTATGCGACAATTGCATGTTGTTGAGCGTGGTTGCCAGCATGCTACTTGCGCTACTACTACTACTACGACTAAGCAGTAGCATCAGCATCAGCAGTAACAGTAGTATTAGTTTTGCAATAAATTACTAGGTTTAGGGTTTCGAGTTTAGGTTTAGGGTCCCTGGTTTCATTTGCACAGGCCCGTGCCTGCCTCCACCTCCACGGCGCCGGCAGCACCAGAGGCCGCCTATCACGGTGCAAGTTTAAGAAAGGCCAACCCTTAAACCTTAAACCCTAACCCCCTCACTCCTAAACCCTAAGCTCCTAAACACCAAAACCTGCAAACCCCTAACTCCTAAACCCCTAACTCCTAACCACTACTACCTGTAAACCCCTAACTCCAAAACCCCTAACTCCTAAGCCCTAAGCCCCGAAACCCTAAACTTTTCACTCCTCAACCCTAAACTCCTGAACCTCAAACCCCAAAACCTGCAAACCCCTAATTCCTGAACCCCTAACGCGTAACCACTGAATACCTGCAAGCCCACAACTCCTAAACCCCTGAAGTCACCAACATCGTTGCGTCTAAATTAAAACCGGCATGCTGCGAAAGGATGAACCCATGCCTAGCCCCCTGCCTTGGGGTAGTTTTCCCAACGAATTCCGGCCTTGGGGTCACCAACATCGCTGCATTTAGACTAAAACCGGCGTCATGCGAGAAGATGAACCAATGCCAAGCGGCCCTCCCTTCGGATAGTTCTCGCAACGAAGTCGGGCCTTGGGGTCACCAACATCGCTGCACATACCGGGGAATCCTTGCTCCGCTTCACTGAGCAACAACAAACGACACTCTCTTTTTGAACCCCGGACCGCAGCCAGCTCCCAGATCATCACTCATAGCCTTCATGCCGAACCACGCTTGATCGCATTGCACTCTTTCAAAATGATCGACACACACTCGCCGGCGTTGAGTCGGTCAATCCATTTCTTGACTGTGGTCGTGGCGTCGGGCGCCGTCTTGACTGACAATTGCAAAACCTGTTTCGACAGCTCGCTGTCGAATACGGTAGGCATCTCCACACCATTCCGGTTCTGGAACTTCAGCCTGTAGTGGGCTCTGGGGTCCGCCGCCTTCGCCTTCGGCTTGCTCGGCTTTGCTTTTGCTTTGCTCGGCTTTGCTTTTGCTTTGACCCTGCTCTTCGCCGTCGCTTCCACCTTCGCTTGCGCCGGGCCGGCAGCCTGCCAGAAAAAACAACTCTTAGAAGCGTCTTCTGACGAATTCCGATTCCGAACCCCAATCTTGTGTAGAAGCGTCTTCTGAGGAGTTCCGATTCCGAATCCCGGGCAACCTTGATTCCGAGCTGTTTATTTGCAAATCATGGAATGAACCGCCAATCCTTGCCTCATCCCCCTTCGGATCTTCATGCTCTCGGTCGTCGGGTGGCTTCTTCTCGCCGGCCTGTCGCGGATTTTGTGCGTCTGAAGGCGAAACGAGTAATTAGTAGCTCCTGAATTTCGAGGTGTATTTAATTTCATTGTGTCGGCGGGGCGAGCCGCCAGCGGCATTGGTGCCGCTTGCTCCAGGCGTAGGGTTTAGGGTTAACAAGTATTATGAACACACAGTAACCGCCGTAACAGAAACAGGTACGAGTAACAGTAAGTATAACAGTAACTGTAGCAGCAGCAGCCCAGCAGCAACATTAGCGTAGTAATTAGTAAGTAGCAAGTTGTATGTAGTAGGTAATCATGTTCTGAATACGTGCGTGTGACAGTTGTGCTTAAGAACATGATGATAAACTGATAAACATGGTGATGACAATGGTGAAAAAAGGATATCTACTCGGCAGGATGTTTGCTCGTCACACTGACCTCGTGTAAGAGAAGCTGCAAAGACACATGCACACACACACACAGAGACTTGGTCATGCAATGCGCAATTCGACTCCCCAGCTTTTTTTTCCGGAACAGCAATGCCGCTTGCCGGGTAGTACTGTGTCAATGTTCAACCGACTGAACTAAACTTTGGAGAGCTTTACGGAAGCGATGCGAATTGGGCGCGTTGGTACGAGGCATCGCCTTGAACAGACTCAAAACAAGTCTGGCTCGCTTTGTCTGTCTAACTTCAGCACATAAACAACATGATGGAACTTTACAACAATAGTACCGGGCCTTTGGCCAGTTATGATTATAGACGCGGACGGCGGACTGCAGTCGGCCTTGTTGTGTCCTCAAATGGCTGCCATCGACGCACACAACTTCGGATGATTGGACACGAACGGTATTTTTCACGGGCTCAGACGATGTCGAAGAAGAATAATCAGAAGAAGTGGAGGGCGAAGTCGATGATGATGAAGAACTAGAAGACGTAGGTCGGCGTTTGCCTCGATGCCGTTTGGCACGTTTTTTTTTGACCCGATGCCGTTTCGAGACCTGTTTGACAGGTGCCTTTTTACGTGCCCTGGTCGGTCTGGGTGGATCAAAAGTAGCCTCAGAAGACAAATCGCTGGAGTTCGGCATGTTGTCAGCACACGAGGCGCCCGTGTGTTTGACAGGTGCCTTTTGAAGCTTTGTACGTGCCCTGGTCGGTCTGGGTGGATCAAAAGTAGCCTCAGAAGACAAATCGCTGGAGTTCGGCATGTTGTCAGCACACGAGGCGCCCGTGTGTTTGACAGGTGCCTTTTGAAGCTTTGTACGTGCCCTGGTCGGTCTGGGTGGATCAAAAGTACCCGAAGAAGACAAATCGCTGGAGTTCGGTTCCATGTTGTCAGCACACGAGGCGCCCGTGTGTTTGCTGTGCTTGCCTTCGAATGTCAGGAGACGGCTGCTGCTTCTGCTGCTTCTCTTGAGACCAAGATGCAAGTATTGGGGCACATCTGTCGTCACCTTGTGAACCAATTGAAGAATGCTCGGTACATGAGAGAGAGAGAGAGAGAGAGAGAGAGAGAGAGAGAGAGAGAGAGAGAGAGAGAGAGAGAGAGAGAGAGAGAGAGAGAGAGAGAGAGAGAGAGAGAGAGAGAGAGAGAGAGAGAGAGAGAGAGAGAGAGAGAGAGAGAGAGAGAGAGAGAGAGAGAGAGAGCAAGAGAGCGAGAGAGAGAGAGAGAGAGAGAGAGAGAGATGGGGATGGAAGGGACAGATAGGCAGATAGGAGGAAAACGAAAGAGAGCCAGAGATAGAAAGAGAACGGAACAGAGAGAAAGAATACGACAACGAAAGAACGAAAAG